TTCAGCAAACATGTAAGACTCTTACAGAATCTTTCCTAATGCACAAAACTTTGGTTTCAGGCTGATGTATAAGACTTTGTTGTCCAGAATTTTATTAAACAAACATAAAAAAATCCCCCAAACCAAACCCACTTCCTTCTAGTTGATTCTGACTCACAGTAACCCTGCAGGACAGAGTAGAACAGCTCCCCTGTGTTTGTGAGTGTATAAATCTTCACGGAAGACACTGCCTCATCTTTCTCCCACAGAGTGGCTGGTGGGTCTGAACTACTGACCTTGCAGTTAGCAGCACAATCCAGAACCCACACCACCACCAGGGCTCTTTTAAAGAAACAAAGAGATCCCCTTTCAATAAACTCACTTTTTCTGTTCAAAAAATAGGAAGCAAAAACAATTTAAAATCTTTTAAAAAATCTACAAATGATAAATATTTCAGTGGCTTTAAATCAAGAAGTAGTTTCTTGCCCTTTGTGGTTTTATTCCGAGTTACTTCCTGGTTTTAAGGCAATGGGAATACTATGTGCAACTACTCTCCACTACAGTATAAAAACGAAAACTGAATCCATTTTCACCCACTGGATGTAAAAGGTTTTTTTCAAGTTCCAGTTTGTTATGGATTAACGGTCTTTCAGGACCATATTTAACTAAAATTCGTGACCTATGTTATACACTTACCTTCTAATGTTTTAATTCCTTCATCTACAAACTTTCTTGCAGCAGATGGGCTACAAACCAAGAAAAGCATTAACTTAGTAACAGGTGAAACATAGGATCCTTCTAACAAATAACTTTGTTTCGTCTTGTCAAAAAACACTACTACTCTGCAACTTCCTAAAATGTTGATTACTTTGGCAATGCTCAATTTTATCCAAAGATAAGAATTCATGAAACTTCAATCATTAGGACAACCATTAACTTGGGCATGAAACATCTGAGTATGTGGCTGTCACAATTCCCAAGTACTTTAATCCCTAAAAGAGATATACTGATACTTGAAAACTGCTGGTTTGTTCAATTTCAGATTTTACTTATGTGCTGCGCTCAGGTTAAGTGTTGAATTGCTAACTCTAAGTCTGGTGCTTCAAACCCAGCAACCACTCCTGGGGAGAAAGATGAGGCTTCCTGCTCACATAAAATTTATGCCTCAGAAATCCTCTATAAGGTCTCTATGGGTCAGAATTAATTCTGTGGCAGTGGGTTTGCTTTTGGGAATTATGTGCCAAATATTCCTCTAGGTGCAGCAGGAAATAAAAGAATTAAGATTCTTGGTCTTATGACATGCACATTCTAGTGGAGAGGGATAAACAATAAATGGATACATAAGCTAAAAGCAAACCTTACAGATATGCTATGCAAAGAATTAAATGATAAGACAGAGTGGCAGGGCAAGATATGACAAAATA